TTCAGTACACAGAGGTTTTGCGTTGTATACGTAGAGCCAGTATGCAGTGATGCGTAGTACATGCAGAGCCTCTGTGGAGCTCTGTATGAGGCAAGGAAGGACAATCAGAGGCTCTAGATAATACATGAAGAGGAAGAACTCTTACACAAGACTCAAGTACATAGCCTTTGTGTAGCTCTGTATGAAGCATGAAAGCAGGGTTAGAGTGACTGTGTAGCACGTGCAGAACCTCTGTTAAGGTCTGTATGAAGAATGGAATCAGCCTTGACAGACACAAGGCTGAAGAAATTTCCCAGAGTTTAAGACGGAGACTATCCAGAGTTACAAGTCTGAGGTCCACCTTCAGAGTTACAAGCAGAGCCTCAACGTAGGACATGAAGAGACAGAGCTCTTTCTCAACACTTAAGTGCAGAGCCTCTGTGTAGCCCTATATGAAGGACGGAGTCTGGCTCAGAGTGACCGTGTAGCACGTGCAGAACCTCTATTAAGCTCTGTATGAAGAACGGAATCAGGCTTGACGGACACAAGCCTGAAGAAATCTTCCAGAGTTTACAACGAACACTGTCCAGAGTTGCAAATCTGCAGTCTACCTTAAGAGTTAGAAGCAGAGCCTCTGCGTAGGTCTGCATGAAGCACGGAGTCAAGTTCTGCTTAATATATGCAATGACAGAGCTCTTACTCGAGAGTTAAATGTTACATATACAAAGGATGGCCTGTACATCGATGATCATAAAGACTTCTAAATGAAGACGAACTAATTCATTGAAAGTGTATAGTATAATATATTCACTAATTAACAGTTCATTGTCCAAACCAAAATCCAATCACAAAAACAATACCAAATACGAGAGACAATGTAGTTGTACATCTGAACCACGAATATTAGTTCTGCAGTTCCGGGAATTTTTAATGTTTTTGTAGTTGATCCTTTTTCTTCCTGTCTAATTCTTTTGCAAGCCTTCTCTCATACAACTTCTCTTGTGATTACAGACTGTCTACGGTACTCTTCAAATAAGACAATGATCAGTACATGCAGAACCTCAGTACAGCTCTGTATGAGGCAAGGAAGGACAAGGAGAGGCTCAACGTAGTACAATGTTCTTAAATATGAAGATCAACTACAACAAAATTACGTACTCATGCAAATAAATTTATATTAAATCCAAAACAAATAATAATGAAAGCGTATAGCATAATATATTGACCAATTAACAGATCATTGTCCAAACCAAAATCCAATCACAAAAACAATACCAAATACGAGAGACAATGTAGTTGTACATCCGAACCATGAATATTAGTTCTGCAGTTCTGAGAATTTTTAACGTTTTTGTAGCTGATCCTTTTCTTCATGTCTATTCCTTTTACAAGCCTTCTCTAATATAACTTCTCTTGTGATTACAGACTGTTTACGGTGCTCTTCAAATAAGACAATGATCAGTTCTAGCATTTGAAGAATTAGTTCCTTCCATTTAAATTTACAAACTACATTGAAGGTGGTGTTTAGAATACCTTAAACTTCTCTTCTAAACTGAAATCTAATGAATGAAGGTGTACTGATTCCGATTCAGCAGACTGCATGATAAATCATAAAATAATGTTAGATTAACAAAGATTCTTCAATGAATTGGCTAAAATTTTGTGCAAATGATAACCAACCAGCACCTGTTGAGCAGCAAATCTCATCTCCAATTCATTGAAGATACTATGATGGTCTGTTGGTCTTGAAATACCATAAACGAAACAACCAGATGGCAGAAATTCAAAATCTTGCAAGATCAACCGCCAATTACTCTGCAATGGCGGTTTCAAGGGGAGCACGTATAGTAACCGTCGAACTTGACACGTGTTACTTGCACAGGCCTCTTTGTACCGAAGGTGAAAATTATGTCCATATACATGTTTAGGCGGGAAAATCCAGTAACCGGTGGACAGAAAAGGGACATGTGTCCCAAAAGTTACTTATTTATTAGGGTTATAGATATGTGTGTGTGTGTGTGATTATGAGCGGTGATGAACCGTCTTAGTTTTTTTTTTCTCTCTCTCTAAAACTCTCGTCTTCTCTCTAAATTTCACAACAAATTACTGAAGGAATCGAAATAACAATTATATATTCGGAATCCACTCTTCGAACCCTTCCTAAAGTTATAAATTTCATTCAATTTTATTAGGGTGTTTATGTTAAGGTTCTTGAGACCGGTTTATAAATTATGTTTATGTCTAAGTTTACGGATTGATGTTGTTAAATTTATAATATATTTCATGTTTAGAATATTAGGATTGGTTAAATTAATGTAGAAATAAAAAGGATAGATTATAGTTTCAATATGATTAGATTGTAGGTATATGTTTAACCGCACGCCAATTGTTCGATTAAATGTTGAAAAGAGTACAAATGCATGATTAAGCTTAGGTTAGCAACCATTGGACTTGTTTTACTGTTTAGTATGTTGAAATATGTTTATAGCATGTAAATGTAGTGAATCATGGAAGTTGGATCATAAAAGTTAGTCGGGATTTGTGGAATCGAATTTTACCAACAATGCAGCTTCTGTACTTTGACAGTGTATAACTCACAAACCGTAAGTCGGCAAAACTCATATTTGGCAGTTAGAAAAATCTTACTATATACTACAACTTTCATGAGGGATCATAAATCCATTTATGACTCTAAGTGGCTCGAAACAGTGTGTTTACAGGGCTGTTTACACTATATTCAAGATTAATTTGCAGTTTTGTAAAATTCATATAAAATAGATAGATGATCAAAATGAGATGATTTCAAAATCAATAGACTCATATGATACCAACCTACAACTTTCATTTAGACAATATAATTTGGATTGGTCTTTACGTAGGGTAAAATTGCTTAGAAATAAGAGGGACGTAAGCGGTTGGCTTGAAAATGCATAAGGCTAGTGTTACAGTTGAGTTCTCAATTCATATATGGTTGTCCTTGAAGTCTACATTGTTTAAGTACATTAAGCCGTAAGTAATTTTATTAGAATAATTATTTTATGGTTTTTATGTTTTGTAAATAGTAACCCGTTTGTGCATTTGTTAGGCACGCGGACTAATCAAACTTGATCGTGAATTTTTGTTTAATCGTGCGTTAATTGTCAAATTCGTTTAAGGTACGCATTTAATATCTTACTTGACACGGGGATATCCATTTGTATAAGGCTTCTAATCTGAATATATTGGTTCCAAATTCTCATTATGCTCGTCAATTGTTATTGAGCTTTTGTTTCCTATCAAAATATGATGTATATTCTTATCTGGAACATGGATCATTTTGATCACTTGACTTGTTTGATTGCATCTATTGTGAACCATTATACTATAGACTCAATATTCGGGGGCACCGGTATTGAGATGTTTCCATTGTGACTAAAACGATAGTGACGTCCTCATTTTATTTTAGTCCTTAAAGGAGAATTTGATTATGTACCGGTCGAATAGATGGCGTATGGATCGATCCTAGGAACCGTTATCGGATAATAAATTGTGGTCGTGGTTAAATCCACATATGCGGTTTGGTATTCGGACTCTTTATATGCCTTCGGGGCATTTTGACTTTCTTTTGGATTATCACTTAACTTTATAAATTGCTTTTGAACTTGTTATCTCATATTCATTGTTTAGTTAATATTATATGTTCACTGAGCATTAAGCTCAGCCGAAATTTTCTTGTCCTCGACAGGTACATGACTTAGCAGGGATTTTGGGTGAGAGCTACGGAGATGACAATACTAAAGATAATCCATTACGTCATACTTTTGTTAACTTTTAATGAGTAATATAGATATACTGGTAATTTTGGACTGTATTTTTTAGACATGTTAGCTCCGTCTGTGGTTATGTAATTATCTTTTGGTCAATTTTATTAGTTGCTCTATTTTATATAATGCGTTGTTTTTTTTTAAACCAATTGTGGCATCTTTTGTCTTTAACCACGCGGGATGGGGGTGTTACTAGTTGTGGTATCAGAGCTATAGGTTATGATCTTGTAGTACAATTTAGGTTTGATCTATGATGAATGGGTAGATTAAGATAGGACTATTCTAAGCATTATACATGTTAACTATTTGAAATCTCGTATGTTTTGTTTCTTTTTTACTTTAATTGAGCAAATGGTTTCCTTGTTATTTGTATTAGTTCCAAATGTCGCCAAGAAGAATACCGGCAATAACAGGTAGACCCAGGAGAAGCGGAACTAGTTTTGAATATGAAACAAATCCTCCGCCAACAACTCAACTTGATCCTAATGTGATGGCAGTTGTCCACCAAACATTTAGCGACATGCAACCAGGTATTATAACACAGACGGTGGAAGCATTATGTCAAACTGGCGAAAACCCAAATCCTAATATTGGGAACTACGGGCCAGAATACAGGGATCAGGAAACTAACAGTGAACTTGCTGATAGAATTCGAGTGGTTGGAGAGGTTTCACAAATAAAAGCCTCGTACTTTTACTTCAGCAGCCACTTCTGTTGAGGCCGAAGATTGGATATCACATCTTGAAAAGGTATTCTGAGTCTTGGGTTGTTCTGATAGAATTCGAGTGGAGCTGGCCACTTATAAATTTGAAGGTGATGCTAATCGTTGGTGGCAAGCTTGGAAACAATCTTACGGAGGGGATATAGCTATTGAAAATTCAACCTGGCCGGGATTCAAAGAGGTTTTCTATCAGCAATACTGTATTGCGGCAAACAAAGAAGTGTATGTTCAAGAGTACGTTACACTCAAACAAAAAGAATATGAATCCATATTCGAATACATAGCCAGATTTCTACGATTGACTAGTTTTGCGGGTATTATGGCAGGTACGGTGGAAAACCAGGTTAAATAGACCCTAAAGAGCAAATTTAGACCCAAACTTATCAATCAACATTTCACGAGCGTTGCCCAGGTTGTTGATGCTGCAAGGAACATTAAAAAGGAACGATTGGACTCTATACTTTTTCGAGGTGATAGTGGTACGAAAAGAAACAGAGATGTGTTTCAAAAAAAATTCTACCAGGCGAGGAACCAATCGAACAGGTCAGTGGAAACAACCGAATTACAAATCTCTAATTTCAACTCAAGGAAATTCTAGTAAAGGTTTTTCGAATACAACTTCTCTGTTTCGGTGCAAAGATTGCGGTTTTAGACATCATCCTGACCCATGTCTTCGAATGATCGGCGTCTGTTGTAACTGTGGTCAACGAGGTCATCTAGCTCGTGATTGTAAACAAGGGCCAAAAGATAACTCCAACGATAAAGAGAAGCAATCTAATGCCGGTGGTCGAGCTTTTACACTATCTGCTGACAAATCTAATGAGGCTATGGTTTCTGGTACCCTTTCTATCAATGGTAGAGATGCATATGTTTTATTTGATACAGGTGCTACACACTCGATTGTTTTTGAAAACTTCGAAGAAAATCTTAAATCATATGAAAAATCCACTAAATTTTCGTTACATATTACTACTCTTATGGGTACTTCAGTATGTATACTTGGTCAATTCCCAAACTGTCTGTTATTTATTGGTGATTGAATTCGAGAGGTTACTTTACTTCCAATGAAAATGGATCACTTCGATATCATCCTTTTGGATTGGTTGTCTAACCATCAAGTGACCATCGACTGCAAATCCAAACAAATCATCTTTGGTGATGTCAATGAACCCGAATATGTGTTCCAGGGTGTTTCATCTGAGAAGGGGACTCGTGTTATCTCAGAAGTAAATGTTAAAGCAATGGTATGGCAAGGATGTGAAGGGTTTCTAGCTTCACTACAAGATCCCGAAGAGGTATGCCTTAAACTTGAAGATATTCCTATTGTTAATCAATTTCAAGATGTCTTTCCAGATGAACTTCCAAGAGTTCCTCCGAAAAGGGAAATGGAATTTACAATTGATCTTGTTTCGGGAGCTACCCCTATCTCAAAGGCTCCGTATCGTATGACTCCAACCGAAATGAAAGAACTTAAGGAGCAACTTGAGGACCTTTCAAATCATGGTTTTATTCAATGCAGTGTATCTCCATGGGGTGCACCGGTCCTATTCGTTAAAAAGAAAGATGGATCGATGCGATTGTGTATTGACTATCGTGAACTAAATCGGGTCACGGTATGTAATAAATATCCCTTATCCCGTATTGACGATCTCTTCGATCAACTTCAAGGAGCAAAGTATTTTTCTAAGATTGACTTAAGGTCTGGATATCACCAGCTCCGAATCAGAGATCATATTCCTAAGACTGCATTACATACTCGATATGGTCATTACGAATTCATTGTTATGCCATTTGGGTTAACTAATGCTCCAGCAGTTTTTATGGATCTTATGAACCAGGATTTCAAAGATTATTTGGACGACTTTGTTATCGTTTTTTATTGAAGATATTCTCATATATTCAAAGTTGAAAGAAGATCACGAAACTCACTTACATATTACTTTAGAAACTCTTCAAAATAAGAAGTTGTACGCAAAGTTCTCTAAATGTGAATTCTGGTTGCATCAAGTGGCATTTTTGGGTCACATTATCTCCGGTGAAGGCACTAAAGTCGATTTTGCAAGGGTTGAGGCTATCACTAACTGGCCAAAACCAACAAATGTTTCTAAAGTCCGAAGTTTTCTGGGTCTGGTAGGTTACTATCGACGGTTTGTTGAAAACTTTTCCCGGATCACGCTCCCTATGACTAAACTTCTTCGAAAAGAATTTAAATTTGTTCGGGGTGAAGAACAGGAAAAGAGTTTTGAAGAACAGGAAAAGAGTTTTGAAGAACTGAGAAAGAGATTATTACAACGCCTGTTCTTGCATTGTCATCTGGGTCAGGAGGTTTACAGGTTTATAGTGATGCTTCTAAAAATGGCCTTGGTTGTGTTCTAACACAGCACGGCAAAGTGATTGCGTATTACCTCTCGCCAGCTCAAACCTTCTGAAGTAAACTACCCTACTCATGATCTTGAGTTGGCAGCAGTCATTTTTGCACTCAAAATATGGCGTCACTATTTGTACGGAGAGACTTGTGCTATTTTTACCGATCACAAAATCTTAAAGTACATCTTCACGCAAAAAGAGTTGAATATGCGTCAACGATGGTGGCTCGAACTTCCTAAGGACTAGAACGTCTGAATTCAATATCATCCAGGAAAAGCCAATGTAATTGTCAATGCCCTTAGTCGTAAAATCATTGGTAATGTATCGTCTTTAACTGTAAGGTCCTATATTGTTTCAGATCTAGAACGTATGGGTATCTCTTTGTGTTATCGTGGTGGAAATGAACTTTTGGCTAGTCTAATGGTTGAACCAACTCTTGTATCTCGAATCAAAGAGGCTCAACAAGAGGATGGAGAACTTTGGGCTATCTTACAAAAGGCTAAATATGATTCACAGTCTGATTTTCGAGTTGATGATAAAGATATTATTTGGTTCTCTAATCGACTTTGGGTACCCGAAAATACTAAACTCAAAGAAGCAGTTATAAGTGAAGCTCATAATTCTCTATTCTCGATTCATCCCGGATCCACTAAGATGTATAGAGATCTAAAACAGTACTTTTGGTGGAACGGTATGAAATGAGGTATAGCAGAATACGTGGCAAAATGTCTTACTTGTCAAAAAGTGAAGATTGAATATCAACGGGCTAGCGGATTGTTTGAACCATTAGAGATTTCCAGTCTGGAAACATATCTCTATGGATTTTGTGATAGGACTACCGAAAACTTAGAGATGACATGATGCTATATGGAAAATAGTTGACCGTTTGACAAAATGGGCTCATTTCCTACCTATACAGGAGACATACTCTGTTAGTAAACTGCTCGATCTATTCCAGCGGGAAATCGTGAGGTTGCATGGCAACGCTAGTTTCTATCACATCGGACTGAGATCTGCGATTCACTTCTCGATTCTGGAAAAGTCTTTACCAGGCTTGGGGTACGCGATTGACTATGAGTTTAGCATTTCATCCACAAACAGATGGTCAGACTAAACGAACTATTCAAACTCTAGAAGATATGTTACGGGCTTGTGCTCTTAAGTGCTCTGGTGGTTGGGACGAGTCTTTATATCTTATGGAGTTTGCGTATAACAATAGTTGGCAAGCTAGTATCGGCATGGCCCCATACGAAGCTTTATACGATCGGAGATGTAGAACACTGATCTGTTGGAATGAAGTGGGGGAATGAGCTATTGAAGGACCCGAACTTGTCCGGATTACTACTGAGCAAATCGAGATTGCAAAACAGAAAATGATAGAGACTCAATCTCGGTAGAAAAGTTACGTTGACAAGCATCGAAAACATTTAGAGTTCCAAACGGGTGATCACATCTTCCTAAAAGTTTCACCGTTACGAGGTATTCGTAGGTTTGGAATTAAAGGTAAACTTAGTCCGAGATATATTGGACCCTTTGAGATACTTAAACAAGTTGGAGAGGTGGCGTATCGCCTAGCGTTACCTCCTCAACTGTCACATATCTACAACGTTTTCCATGTCGCATCGCTTCGAGGATATCAGTATCACCCTCTCCATGTGATTGATTATCTATTGGAAAAAGTTGAAAATATATGTCTTATATTGAAGAACCAGAGGCGATAATTACTCGAGAAAAAAGACAAATACGACGAAAGTCAATATTGTTCGTTAAAGTGTTATGGCGAAATCATTCCGAGTGGGAAGCCACATGGGAGACGGAGGAATCTATGCAAAATGGTACCCTTACCTATTTGAGTCATGTAAGTCTTCTAACCCTATATGAGTTTCGAGGACGAAATGTTCTTTTTGGGAGGGGAGGATTATAATACCCGTGTTCCATTAACTCATACAAATTGAGTTAAGTTTATATCTAGTAGGGCATAAAGTTGAGAATCTAGACTTGAAGTATTAAAACCGCAAAATGATTAAACTTTATATATATATATATATATAATTATATATATATATTTATTTATTTATATATATATATGTGTGTGTGTGTGTGTGAAAGAGAGATTATGAGTGGTGATGAATTGTCTCAGTTTTTTTTCTCGTTTTTCTCGCTCTCTAAAACTCTCGTCTTCTCTCTAAATTTCACGTCAAATTACTGAAGGAATCAAAGTAAAAATTATATATTTGGAATCCACTCTTCGAACTCTTCCTAAAGGTATAAATTTCGTTCAATTTTATTAGAGTGTTTATGTTAGGGTTCTTAAAACTGGTTTATAAATTATGCTTATGTCTAAGTTTATGGATTGATGTTGTTAAAATTAAAATATATTTCATGTTTAGAATGCTAGGATTGGTTAAATTAATGTAGAAATAAAAAGGGTAGATTATAGTTTCAATATGGTTGGATTGTGGGTATATGTTTAACCGCATGCAAATTGTTCGATTAAATGTCGAAAAGAGTAAAAATATATGATTAAGCTTAGGTTAGCAACCATTGGACTTGTTTTACTGTTTAGTATGTTGAAATATGTTTATAGCATGTAAATGTAGCGAATCATGGGAGTTGGATTATAAAAGTTAATCGTGAATTGTGGAATCGAATTTTACCGACAATGCAACTTCCGTACTTTGACAGTGTATAACTCCGAAACAGTAAGTCGGAATAAGCTCATATTTTGCAGTTAGAAAGATCTTAATGTATCTACAACTTTCATGAAGGGTCGAAAATCCAGTTATGACTCTAAGTGGCTCGAAACAGTGTGTTTTCAGGGTTGTTTACACTATATTCGAGATTATTTTGCAGTTTTATAAAATTCATAAAAAATTGATAGATGATCCAAATGAGATGATTTCAAAATCAACAGACTCATATGTTACCAACCTACAACTTTCATTTAGACAATATAATTTGGATTGGTCTCTAAGTAGGGTAAAATTGCTTAGAAATAAGACCGAAGAAAGCGGTTGGATTGAAAATGCATAAGGCTAGTGTAACAGTTGAGTTCTCAATTCGTATCTGGTTGTCCTTCTTGAAGTCTACATTGTTTAAGTACATTATGCCCTAAGCAATTTTATTAGAATAATTATGTTATGATTTTTATGTTTTGTAAATAGTAACCCGTTTATGCATTCGTAAGACACGCGGACAAATCAAACTTGATCGTGAATTTCCGTTTGATCGTGCGTTAATTGTCAAATTCGGTTAAGGTACGCATTTCATATCTTACATGACATGGGGATATCCATTTGTATAAGGCTTCTAATCTGAATATAATGGTTCCAACTTCTCTTTGTGCTCATCAATTGTTATTGAGCTTTTGTTTCCTTTTGAAATATGATGTACATTCTTATCTGGAACATGGATCATTTTGATCACTTGACTTGTTTCATTGCATCTATTGTGAACCATTTTACTATAGACTCGATATTCGGGGGCATCCGGTATTGAGATGTTTCCATGGTGACTAAAACGATCATGGCGTCCTCATTTTATTTTAGTCCTTAAAGGTGGATTTGATTATGTGCCGGTCAAATAGATGGCGTACGGATCGATCTTAGGAACCGTTATCGGATAATAAATTGTGGTCATGGTTAATTCCTCGGAGAGGATTGTTGTGTTGTGC